AAAAAAGACAAAAAAAAAAAAAAAGGAAGAAAAAAAAATCCTCAGCAAGGGCCGGCCCGGTGGCGCACTGCTACAGTGCGCCGCTTGGGAGTGTGGCGGTGCTCCCGCCGAGGGTTCGGATCCCACATACAGACCAGTTCCCGCTCACTGGCTGAGCGAGGTGTGGGAGCAACACCGAGGGTTGCGATCCCATTGCCGGTCCCGGTCCGGTACGGGCGCGACACTGAGGGTTGCGATCCGTTGCCGGACATGAAAAAAGACAAAAAAAAAAAAAAAGGAAGAAAAAAAAATCCTCAGCAAGGGCCGGCCCGGTGGCGCACTGCTACAGTGCGCCGCTTGGGAGTGTGGCGGTGCTCCCGCCGAGGGTTCGGATCCCACATACAGACCAGTTCCCGCTCACTGGCTGAGCGAGGTGTGGGAGCAACACCGAGGGTTGCGATCCCATTGCCGGTCCCGGTCCGGTACGGGCGCGACACTGAGGGTTGCAATCCGTTGCCAGACATGAAAAAAGACAAAAAAAAAAAAAAAAAGGAAGAAAAAAAAATCCTCAGCAAAATATTAGCAATCAGAATATAGCAACACATCCAAAAAATTATACACCATGATCAAGTGGGATTCATCTCAGGGATGCAAGGATGACATACGCAAGTCAATAAATGTGATACACCACATCAACAAAATTAAGGACAAAAAACATATGATTATCTCAATAGATGCAGAAAAAGCATTTGACAAAATTCAACATCCTTTCATGATAAAGACTCTCAGCAAATTAGGCATAGAAGGAAACTATCTCAACACAAAAAAAGCCATATACAAGAAACCAATCACCAATATCATCCTGAATGGGGAAAAGCTGAAATCTTTTCCCTTAAGAACAGGAACAAGACAAGGATGCCCACTCTCACCATTCCTATTTACCATAGTACTGGAAGTACTAGCCAGAGCAATCAGGCAAGAGAAAGAAATAAACGGCATCCAGATTGGAAAGGTTGAAGTCAAACTGCCCATGTTTGCAGATCACATAATCTTATATATATAAAACTCCACCCAAAAACTCTTAGAGCTGATTAACAATTTCAAAAATGTAGCAGGATACAAAATCAACACCCAAGAGTCAGTAGTGTTTTTATACTTGAATAACGAACTAGCAAAAAAAGAAATCAAGAAAGCAAGCCCATTTACAATAGTCACCAAAAACCCAAAATACCTAGGAATCAATTTAACTAAGGAGGTAAAAGATCTCTACAATGAGAACTACAAAACACTATTGAAAGAAATTAAAAAGGACACAACAACGTGGAAAGACATACCATGTTCTTGAATGGGAAGAATTTACATCATGAAAAGGTCCATTCTACCCAAAGCAATCTACAGTTTCAATGCAATCCCCATCAAAATACCAATGACATTCATCACTGAAATAGAAAAGACAATCCTAACACTCATATAAAACAACAGAAGACCTTGAATAGCCAAAGCAATCCTGAGCAGAAAAATAAATAAATAAAGCCAGAGGCTTTATACTTCCCAACTTCAAATTATATTACAAAGCTATTGTAACCAAAACAGCATGGTACTGGCATAAAAACAGACACTTGGACAGATGGAACAGAATAGAAAACCCAGGAATTAGCCCATATACTTTTACAGCTAACTGATCTTTGACAAAGACAACATAATGTACATTGGGGAAAAGACTGTCTCTTCAATAAATGATGCTGGGAAAATTGGGCATCCATATGTGGAAGAATGAAACTGTACATGTACCTCTCACCATACACCAAAATCAATTCAAAATAGATTAAAGGGGCTGACTACGTGGCTCACTCGGGAGAGTTCAGCGCCGGGCCTGCAGGTTCGGATCCTATATAGGGATGGCCGGTGTGCTAACTGGCTGAGCATGGTGCAGGTGACACCAAGTCGAGTGTTGCAATCCCCTTACTGTTCACACACACACAAAAAAATAGATTAAAGACTTAAATATAAGATCTGAAACCATAAAATTACTAAAAGATAACATAGGGGAAACACTCCAAAGAGTATGACTGGCCAAAGACTTTATGAATAAGACCCCAAAGCACAAGCAACACAAGAAAAAATAAACAAATGGAATTATATCAAACTAAAAACTTCTGCACAGCAAAAGAAACAACAGAGCAGAAAGACAACCTACAGAAAAGAGAAAATATTTGCAAACTCTACAGCCATCAAGGGATTAATATCAAGAATATATAAAGAACTCAAACAACTATACAATAAAATAAAAACAAATAATCCAATAAAAATGGGCATAGAAGAGGAACAGGCATTTTTCAAAGACAGACAAATGGCCAACAGATACATGAAAAAATGCTCAACATCATTATCAGGGAAATGCAAATCAAATCCACATTTAGATATCTGGTCATTATTATAAAGATAGAGAATAACAAATGCTGGCAAGGATGTGGGGAAAAGCAAATCTTCCACACTGTTAGTGAGACTGTAAACTTGCACAGCCATTACAGAAAACAGTATGGAGGTTTCTCAAACAACTACAGATAGAAATACCATATGATCTAGCAATCCTACTACTGGGTATCTATCCAAAGGAATAAAAATCATCGTGTCGAAGAGACACCTGTACTCCCATGTTCATCACAGCTCTATTTACAATAGCCAAAATATGGAACTGACCTAAATGTCCATCAACGGGTGACTAGATAAGGAAAATGTGGTATATACACACAATGGAATACTACTCAGCCATAAAAAAGAAT